GGCCACACTTTATGGCCAACCTAGTCACCATAGTTCCGCAATGGATCTCCCCAGTCTTGATACCCGAGACAATAGCTTCGATACATTGAGTGAAGATGAACTCCAAGTTAACTCTATGTCCCAAGTCTGGCCTTGATGCAAGCCAAAGGATCCTAATCTCCTCCAAAGTTATCTTCCCCAAGTCTTGCTTGTTGAAGACCATGTACCCAAGTATACGGTGTAGCAATCTCAAGGCGGGGTGCATGATTTCACTAGCCAAAGAATACTTTGCATCAAAGTTGTTTTTTCGGGAGATATGCTTCCACCATTGGCGGGGGTTGTAGTCCGGGAGTTGGGCATATTCGGGTAAGAGGATGTCGGCATTGGGGTTGAGGTTAAGGTATTCATTTAATTGGCGGAGGGACATTGTTTCCTTCTTGTTAAAGAGTTGGTAGGAAACGGAGATGTTGTTGTTCCCCGAGGTATGTTTCTAAAAAGAGGCGAGAAACTCTAGGGTGGGTTCACGGTAAGTGTTGTATGGCTGTGAGACGAATTTGGTTAACCCAAGGTTGTTGAAAAAAAGCCAACATTGTTCGTCAATGCCAAGCTTGGTGGTTATGGTTTGATTGTAGTGTTTAGTGGGGAGGAGTTTTCGTGATTGGAGGGCATCGAATTTGGCTTTGTGGTTTCGATTAGAGAATTTTGCAGGAGGCAAAGGTGGTGGGGGTTCCACATTTTGAGGTGTTTGTGAAGATGAACCTCGTGGCTCCTTTCCACTCTTTCTCTTCTTTGAGCTAGTTCCAACCTCCATTTTTTCTTTTCTCTCTTTTTTTTTCAAGAAAACAACACCGACACCTTACTCCAAATCAATTAGTAGCTCCAAGCAGCACCAATCAACCACCACAAGAATAACCAAACAACCACTACAAGAATAACCAAGCAACCACCACAAGAATAACCAAGCAACCACCACTTAACCAAGAAAACAACAATAATTCCAACAAACAATTCACAAAACAACTCAACCAAAGATTAGAACAAAAGCAACAACAAAATTCACCAAATCACATGAACAATTTTCCAACAAAAATCACAAAAAAAGTTGTCATGAAATTCATTCAAACTTGCAAAATAGTTCAATAAAATCTAGAAAGGAAGGGATTATACCAACAATGAAGCAAGGAATCACCTTAAACTAGCCCCCAATAACTTTGAACTCCAAGATGCTTGAAGGAGAAACAATGGTGGAAAATCAAATTTTTTTTTGGATTTTTGATGGTGGAAATTAAAAATTGTTGATGAATTTGATGTTTGAGTAGGAAATTTTGTGAGATTTGGGATGAATTTGATGGATTTTGAAATAGTTAGGGTTGGGGTTTTGGGGTTTTTAGAGAGAGAGTGAGAAAGGTGGGAAAGAGAGTGAAAAATGGCACGCCTAGATGCTTTCGAAAACAAAAAGGGGTCGAAACCCAGCGAGCCGCGCCCGCAGGTTCAGGTGCCGCGCCCCGCGGGTCTTAAAGGGGGTCGTGTCCTCGGGGTCCTGAGCCGCGCCTTCTCCAGGGGCGCGGCCAGGAATCTACCGAAAGTTGGAGTGGAACTACAACTCCCTTAGCCGTGCCCTCTCCTCCTTTAGCCGCGCCCGCGGGTTCTTTGAGAGGCCTTTCCTTGGGTGCAGCTTCACTACTTCTTTTGCACATTGAATTCCTTTACTTCTTTCTCTCTTGACCCAAACTTAGCTTAATAAACATCATCATATGGCGTCCAAAACCCAACCATACATGCTCCATTGGCAAGTACCTACAAATAGCAAGCAAAATCCATAAGACAAAAGGCGAAACAACCAAAACTACAAAAAAAAAAGAAAAATAGAGAAGAAAGGAGTGTAGAATCCGGGTTGCCTCCTGGAAGCGCTTTTGTTTAACGTCGTTAGGTTGACGCTCCTTGAGTTGATCAAGGAGGGTTAAATTGACGATGCACATCAAGTAGAGTCACAGAAATCGGCTCATCACTTGGGAATCCTTTATAATAGGGCTTGAGACGGTGGCCGTTGACTTTGAAAGGAGAGTGGCCGTCTTGGGAGATTTCGTAGGGGCCATATGGAAACACCTCCGTGATAATGTACGACCCACTCCACCTTGACCTAAGCTTGCTCGGGAAAAGCTTCAAGCGGGAGTTGAATAGGAGGACATTTTGGCCTTTGACAAATTCCTTCTTGACAATTTTATCATCGTGCTAAGCCTTAGTCCGCGCCTTATACCTGCTTGCGCTATCGTAGGCATTCATCCTCAACTCCTCTAACTCATGTAGCTCTAGAAGCCTTTGCTCACCCGCACTATGGAGATCAAAGTTTATTTTCTTGATTGCCCAATGCGTTCGATGCTCCATCTCTACGGGCAAGTGACAATTTTTTCCATAGACAAGCTTATAGGGAGTGGTCCCTATCGGAGTCTTGAAGGCGGTCCTATAAGCCCATAGAGAATCAATGAGTTTGGTGGACCAATCCTTCCTCGTCCTAGCAACTGTCTTCTCCAAAATCACCTTAAGCTCTCTATTGGTGACCTCCGCTTGACCACTCGTTTGGGGGTGGTAAGCAAGCCCTCGCTTGTGAGACACCCCATACTTATCAAGTAGTCGAACGAAGGTGTGGTGCTTGAAATGCGATCCCCCGTCACTAATTATGGCTCTTGGAACACCAAATCTAGGGAAAATAACTTTCTTGAAAAGATTAACCACTACCTTTGAATCATTCGTAGGGGAAGCCACGGTCTCCGCCCACTTTGAGACATAGTCAACGGCAACCAAAATATATTTGTTCCCATGAGAAGAAATAAAAGGGACCATGAAATCTATAGCCCACACATCAAAAACTTCAAGCTCAAGGATGGGGTTTTGCGGCATTTCATTTTTCCTAGAAATATTCCCCATCCTTTGACATCTATCACAAATCTTAACAAAAATCCAAGCATCCTTGAATAGAGAAGGCCAAAAGAGCATAGATTGTAGGACCTTTAAGGCAGTCTTTTGAGCACTCATATGCCCACCACAAGGTGAAGAGTGGCACATATTGAGAACACTTTGAACCTCATCGTTGGGGACGCATCTCCTCAACAAACCATCGACCCCTCTCTTCAATAAAATGGGATCATCCCAAATGTATCTCTTGGCCTTGTGCTTGAGTTTTTGACGTTGTTGTGAAGTGAAATCCGGTGGTACGGCACTACAAGCTAAGTAATTCACAATATCCGCATACCATGGCTCCGATTTCACTTCAAGGACATATAGCACATCATCTCTTAGAGCGTCCTCTATTGGCAAGCCATCATCTTCAAACCTTGCACCGCCCAACCTTGAAAGGTGATCCGCCACCACATTCTCGGCTCCCTTCTTGTCTCTCATCTCATAATCGAAGTCTTGGAGGATTAAAACCATCTCAACAACCTTGGTTTAGCTTCCTTCTTCCCTATCAAATATTTGAGAGCCGAGTGGTCGGTATACACAATTGTCCTAGAACCAATGAGGTAGGTTCTAAACTTCTCAAATGAATGGATAATCGCTAGGAACTCCTTCTCGTTAGTTGTGTAGTTTCGTTGGGCATCATTGAGAGTTTTAGAAAAATAATGTATGACATGAAGTTTCCCATCCTTTCGTTGTCCAAGAACCGATCCAATGGCTTCGTCGCTTGCATCGCACATGAGCTCAAATGGAAGAGACCAATCCGGACCTTGAACAATAGGAGCGGTGCAAAGGGCTTCTTTCAACCTACAAAAGGACTTATGACAAGCATCATCAAACACAAACTCCTTATCTTGTTGCAATAGGGATGTGAGAGGCTTAGCAATCATTGAAAAATCTTTTATAAAGTGCCGATAGAACAATCCCACTTTCCACCATAAAGTGGCACTTTTCCCTATTCAACACAGGTTAGCCCTCTCACACCTTTCAAAGCAACGAGATAAATTAGATAGACACTCTTCATAGGTGGCTCCTCCAACGGAGAAGTCATCCATGAAGACTTCTATCTTATCCTCAATCATATCACTAAAAATGGACATCATGCAACGTTGGAATGTTGCGGGGGCATTACAAAGCCCGAAAGGCATCCTACAATATGCATAAGTACCGTAGGGGCATGTGAAAGTCGTCTTCTCTTGATCCTTGGGGTCAATTGGGATTTGGAAAAATCCCGAGTAACCATCAAGGAAACAATAGAAGGGATGCTTTGTAAGCCTTTCCAACATTTGATCAATGAACGGTAGTGGAAAATGATCTTTGCATGTACTTGTGTTAAGTTGGCGATAGTCAATACACATGTTCCAATCGGTAACAAGTCTAATGGGTACTAGTTGATCATGATCATTTTTCACTACCGTCATGCCCCCATTCTTAGGCACAACTTGCACGGGAGATACCTAATCACTATGCGCAATTGGGTAAATAATTCCCGCATCAAGAAGCTTAGCCACTTCCTTCCGCACAACCTCTTGCACGGAAGGGTTAAGCTTTCTTTGCCTTTACCTAACGGGTTTGGCATCTCCTTCTACATCAATTTTGTGCATACATAAAGATGGACTAATACCTTTGATATCATCAATGGTATAACCCAAAGCTTTCTTGTGTTTTCTCAAAACATTGATCAAGAGGGAGGTTTGCTCCTCCGTTAGGTTAGAATTTACAATCACGGGGAAAGACTCGTCGGGACCAAGAAATGCATACCTCAAGCTCAAAGGTAGAGGTTTCAAGTCTACTTTTGGTGCTCCTTTACCATTGGGGCTCTCTTCTCTTTCTTCAACTTGAAAGAGGTCATGAATGTAAGGAGCCTCTTCTTCCATGCTCGCATCCTTGCACTCCTTCTTGCTTTACTCAAGCAAATCCTCATAGAATTGTATGTCTTCTTTGTGAGTACCTAACTTTGATTCATTCAACAACACACTTTCAAAAGGATCATTAGTAGCATGCAAGTGGGAGCGAGAAAATTCATTAAGAACGGTATCAAGAACATCTACCCTAAAGCATTCACCACTTTAGGAGGGTTGTTGCATGACATTATTCAAATCAAACTCAATAGAATCATTGTCAATCTTCAAGGATATCTTCCCCTCCTTCACATCGATGATAGCTCTAGAAGTAGCTGGAGATGGTCTACCCAAAATTATAGGAATCCTCTCATCCTCATCCATCTCTAGCACATAGAAATCCACGGGGAATGTGAACTTTCCTACCCTAAGGGGAATGTCCTCAACTTTGTCCATGGGGAACTTAACGGAACGGTCAGCTAGTTGGAGAGTAATGTTAGTGGGGGAGAGGGTTCCTACACTAAGCTTTTGGTAGACGGAATAGGGCATGAGACTCACACTTGCTCCTAAATCACACAAGGCTTTATCAAATTCAATGCCATTGGTAGAACAAGGGATGGAAAAGTTACCCGGATCTTTCAATTTGGTAGGAAGTTTGTTGGAAAGAATTGCACTACAATTGGCGGTCAAAATCACCGTCTCACACTCCCTTCTCCCACTCAAAAGGTCTTTCAAAAATTTGGAATAGTGGGGCATTTGCTTCATAGCATCAACAAAAGGGACGGAAATATGCAAATTCTTAATGACTTCCAAAAACTTCCCAAATTGGGTATCAAGTTTAGCTCTCACAAATCGTAGTGGAAAGGGTAGCTTCTCCTCTCTAGGTTGGCAATTTAGGGGCAAGGGGGTGGCTTCTTTTTCCTTTGGCACCTCAACATGTTTTTCCTTTTCAACACTCAATGGCTCATTGGGTTTTTCACCCTCATTCTCTAACTCCACCTCTTCTTAGGGTTCTTCCTCAACTAAAGGGTCACTCCCTACTACCTTCCCACTCCTAGTTATCATGGCATACAAAGGTTTTGGGTTAACTCCTTGACTTGGGATGTGAGAAGAAGAAGAAGAAGAAGGGGATGAATTAGATGCAAGTTGAGCAATTTGGGTCTCAAGCATTTTCATTTGAGCATTGGTGCGTTTTTGGGCCTCTTCATGTTTCTTTTTATCCTCCTCATGCATTTTCAAAAGAGCATCTAATTTAGCCATCACTGGATCAATTGGAGGGGCTTCAAGTTGAAGAGGTTGTTGAGGTGGAGGGAGTTGGGGTTGATGGAAACCCGGAGGCCTATTAGTTTGGGCATAGTTAGAAATAAATTGGCCCCTATTGCCTCCCGTGCCTTGGTTAGGAACATTGCTTTGTTGATTATTTCCCATGTTACCTTGATCACCAAAATTTTGATTTTGATGGTCATGGTATCGGGGATTAGGTTGTTGGTTTTAATTACCATACCCCCTTTGGTTAGAGTAGCCTCTTCCATTGAAATTGGAAGGACTCCCCCACCATGGTATTGGTTATCATAACCACCACTACCTTGGTTCCAACCACGGTTTCCACCTTGATTCCAATTCCCCATTTGATTGGAGTTTGGCCTCAAGTTCCCTACATTTCCCATTCTAGGAGCAAAATTCATAGCATTGACGTTTTCTGTATTATCATCATGTTCATGGGAAGGGGGTTGAACTTCACAAGCATATACACAATGAGAGGTATCATGATCATAGGTTTCACAATTAGAACAAAACATGCATCCTTGGGGCATTGTATTATAAGAAGAGGAGGAAGTATCCATACCATTGCCTCCCTTTGTTGAAGGGGAGGTATTACCATGAGGGTTGGACCTTTCTTTCATCAATTCATCCATTTGCTTGGTCATTTTGGAGATTTGGGTAGAAAGGTTGATGATTGCGTTGGCTTGCTCCAATGCATAAACACCCTTACTAGAAGTAGCATCCCTTTCTCCTTCGTACCAATCATCATAGTGTTTTGCGGCCTCCTCTATAATACACTCCACTTCATGCTCTCCTTTGTTCATGATTGGACCGCCGGCCGTGGCGTTTAGGCTTGTTCTTCCTTGAGGTGTGAGACCTCCATAGAAAGTGTGAATGAGTTGATACTTGGGTATCCCATGGTGTGGGCATTGACGTTGAAGCTCTTTGTATCGTTCCAATGCCGCACTTAGAGACTGACCACTCTTTTGGCAAAAACCTTGAATCGAAGACCGAGCCTCGGCGGTCTTCCTATGGTTATAGAACCTCCTCAAGAAAGCCGTAGTCACTTGGTCCCATGTTGTGAGAGAATTAGGGGGCACCTCCTTCTCTATCCATTCTAGACCTCTCCCAATTAGTGAAAATGGAAATATTTTGAGGCGGATATATTCTTGAGTCACTCCATTGACCTTTACCGTGTCACAATATTTCTCACACTCTTTTAAGTGCTCATGAGGACTCTCAAACTTTCCACCCGAGAATTGTTTCCTCTCAATCAAAGCAATAAAATTAGGCTTGATCTCGAAATTATTGTCTTGAGTAGTAGGAGTTAGGATCCCACATTGCGCTCTAAAAGCTTCAGGGGCCCCAAGACGACTCAAAGGTGTAATCTCTCCCATTTTAGAACCTTCTTCACTCTCGAACTTATAGGTTGAGAAAGGGTTGATTTCTAAACTCGATGATGAGTTAGGGCTATCTAATTCTTCACTTGAGGGGGAGGGTGGAGTATCTTCTAATTCTCTTACTTCTCTCGTTGGGGTATGAGAATTTCTACTCCTTGCTCTTGCTTCTCTTTGAAGTAGGGACAAAGACCTCTCTAGCTCTGGATCGATGGGAATCAAAGATCTTGAGCGGGTTCGTCCTCTGTTCTTACAACAAAGCTAAGAAGAACGTAAGCACTGACAAGTAACAAAAGTAGAAAACACTAACAAATAAAAGATGAGATAGTCTCAAACAAGCAATGAAATAGCAATGGAAGCCGTCTCCCCGGCAACGGCGCCAATTTGACAAAGGAATAATTGCGTCGTCAAACAACTACACCTAAATCAAATACAATTTATAACACTCAACTCAACCTATTACAAATATAGGGCAAGTAGAGGGGTCAAACCATAGGGAGAAATGCATAAACACCGCATTCATTACCTAGAGTCTAAGCTATCTCGGAACAAGAAGTGTGAATAACTAAGAGATTAAACTAAGAACGAAATGGATTAAAATTAATATAACTAAGCACCAAGGGAAATGGGTAGATGTAGATGCCGCTTGATCATGCAATAACAAAGTAGCAAATCAATGGTAAACTAAACATGCATGAATATCGAAGTAAGGCCCAATCTAACCGCCTTCCGGGGTTAATCGGTTTCTCCTAACATAGCCTCTATGTTTCCACACTAGAACCATATATTAGAAGGTGCAATCAAAGAACTATCGATATTAATGAATCTAAACTAAGTCTACTTCCGTTACTTGTTAGCAAAGATTCACATTTAATCAACTAGCAATGTGCACTTGCAAGAAGATCAAAGAATATCAAGCATGCAAAGACTTTAATCACCATTAACATAACCCCAACATTATAAGCATGAACAATTAGCAATTACACCATCCCCACACCCTTGGCTAGGTGACTACTCACAAATCATATTGAAGATAATATCAATCATCAAATCAATAAGCATCAACATGATTAATAAGCAAAGAATAAAAATTAAAGCAAATAAGCAAAATAAAAAACAAAGGTAAAGAGAAAGAGTAAGAGATTGCTCATTAATTAAAGATGAAGGTCTACAAAGGATTGAACAAACTCCTTCTTCAAAATCCAAGTTCATCAATGAAGAAACCACACTTTCTCTCTCTACCCATGAAGACTAATAATGTTTTCTCTCTCTAGATTAATCTAAAATGTTGATAAGATAGATGATAATACAAACTTGAAATAGGAGGCTATATATATGCATCATAAAAGACGGAAATAAAACGCCTAGGAGATCCCTCTAGCAAGTAGTCGCGCCCTCTCTAGTCTGGGTACGGAGTTGCTTAACCCAGCAACCCGCGCCCGCGGCTATGCACCCGCGCCCACGGCCAAAGAAAAGAGATGTAATCTGCTGCTGAAGAGAGGCCGCGACAGGAAAACTGGGAAATGAAGCCTCGAAGAGCCGTGCCCGCGGTTCGACTCCTTGCTCTAGTGCCTTCCTTGAGCATTAAATTTCCTTCCCATGCCTCACCATGAATCCAAGGGTTCATCCGAAAGGGCCGAAAATCTACAAAACAACGAAGAGACGCTAGAAAAACCAAAAAAAGGGAAAAAGAAAGGAAACACGAGAAAAGAAAGGAAAAAGCAAAACTAAGGTAAAAACGCTTAAAGAGGCTCAAACAAGTGCAAATGAGGGGAGAATCCTTAGAGAAAGGGGTGGAGAAGTGGCATAAATTCCACTCATCACAAGTCCTCTTCCCTCTTCTTGATAAAGCCTACGAACTTGTCTCAAAGTTCGGTCGATCTTGTGGTCAATGTTTTGTATGGGCGGACCTTTAGACCTCCTAAGTATCCACCAAAGCTAAGCGAACGATTAGCAATGACAAGTAGGATAAAGCAAGAAAATAAAATGACTATCTAACAATAGCAAAAATACATGCTAAACAAGCCCCTTCCCCGGCAACGGCACCAAAATTTGATCTAGGTGGATTAGGTCGTTGGGAATACTACCTTAATCAAATTAATTATTTATAAACATAAACCTTTCAATAAACTTGTTAGCGGCAAGTATAGGGTTGGACCACAAGGAAGCACACAAGTTAAACATCAAATCCACTAATGCAAGAGTAAATGGGAGAATATTTTTGATGGTTTTCTTGATTACGTAAACTAAAGCAATAAATAAAGAAAGGTAAAATGGATTAAACAAAATATAAACAACACTAGGGGTATGGGGGTGTCAAACTTGATCAAATATAAATGGTCAATGGTGATTTTCATGAAGAACATGCCATAGAATACGAAGTTCTACTCAAACAACTCAATTTCATGCAATTGCTTAAGCAAATCAATGAATTAAGTCTTGTCCTAATTGAATCACTTTCATGCATCCAATTAGTCACTAATCATGGCAAGAGATTAAGAGTGCACAATACATAAAAATTTACTTAAATAATTCATTTTCATGCAATCATCAAAGTAAAGGTGATCTTAATTTAATCCAAATCATTCTCATGCATTTTTATTAGGAAACATCAAATAATATCCTACTAATAATCTCAAGCTATCAAAAATCATATCTTTCATCAATTTATGGCATGAATTCTATCTAATCACAATCAATCATCAATATTAACACATGTTTTCCACCCCCTTCCCCTAGCTAAAAACTTAGCCTAGAAAAGAGAAACTAACCATCATAACAAAACTAAACAAGGATTCAATAAGCACAAAACTAAGAATGATTGAAAACTAATAAAAATAATACCAACAAGTTCAACTAAACAGATAGATGAAAATAATAAATAACATAGAAAATAAATCAAACTAAAGGAAAGGATAAGAGATTACTAAAAAGGAACTTGATTAAAGATGAAAGCTTGAAACTTTTGCATTGAAATAACCTTGACCAAATCTTTAATGCAATGAAGAAACTTGAAGAATAAGCTACTTTCTCTCTATAGATTAGGGTTAAAATCTGAATAATCATCTCTTTTACCCCCACTTACCTCTTATTTTATTTAGGTCAATTAAATTGCCTACAACTATGTGGCGGACAAACTGTAACACTTATTAAAATACGGAGGGAGTACTCATATTTCAATTATTTTTAATCACGGTATAAGATATCATACATAGTATACATGGTGTACTTTCTAATTTGATCATGGTGTTATATTAATAAGTAGAATATAAATTTTTTCATATTTGTAAAATAAAAATTAATTAACCAAAATAAATTTTTAAAATTTAAAGGCTAATTATTAAACAATAATATAATATATATAATAACTTTACTTATTTTTTTCTTGTTTATTATTTGGTGTTATCCCTTACTAGAAATCCTGCAAGAAGGGTCAACCTTTTCAAGATGCAATTTGTTAGAAAGATTAAGGTAGTCTAGCGACCTATAACAAGTAATACAAAGGCATGGTGAATCCTTAAACGACTACTTCAACATGTTCAACAGGTAAAAGATCAGAATTCACAAATGCGATGTTCCAGCCATAATTGAAGCATTTAGAAGAAGACACCAAGACCATAGTGAACCTTAAAAAGAATAAACCAAGTACCCTTTCACAACCTTTATTTTGAAGATGTTCAAGACAAAGCAATGGCCCAAGTTAGTTTTGAGGAAGCATCTATTCTGGGAAAACCCTGAGTGTTGATAGATCAACATGGAGAAGTAACAATTATCCCAGAAGGGATGATTCTATGGTGTCATTCTTAGAAAATGACACCATAACATGACGAGGTGTCATGTTATGATTGGTCGATTTTTGATTTATTTTTAAATACCTAAATATACTATACATGTATGTATAATTATGAATACGTATATTTTTTATAGAATACGTAATTATAGTTTTTTAAAATCTATTTTAAACTTAATAAAATCATTTTCAAAAATTAAATTAGAATTACAATTTAGTAAAAATAAAATCATCATTGTTCTTTGTTGTTCTTCATTCCGTCCACAATTCCGACCACATTTCCGACCAAAATTCTGACCAAAATTCTGACCACAACTCCCACCGCAATTTCGACTAAATTTCGACCAAATTCTGACCAAAATTCCGTCTAAAACCCCATCCAATTTCGGGTATAAATTTCGTTTTGGGTTTGATTGATGATTTATTGATGTAAAAATCACTTTATTTGTTAGTTTTGAGAATGGAAAAAGCCTTAGTCGTGTGTAATATGATGATGTGAAATGCTTAATTTCCAGTTTTTTTAACTTCAATGGATAACGAGGGTTTGCTCTTCAATTTAGAATTCGAGGTTGTTTTTTCTTTTTCGAACTGTTTGATCAAAAATTTTCATTTGCGATTTTTGTAATATGTTTGTGATTAGGTAATTACCTGTATGTAGTTAGGTCATTACCTTTATTTATGTAGGTCATTATCGTAAATTTTTAGCTATAATTAATTAGGTTATTACCAATTGCGTTTAGTAATCATAATTTTACGGTAATCATACAACAAAAAAATGATTTAAGGAATTTTTATCTTATCATTTTTGCAAAAAATATTTATGGTATCATTATCTTATTGTATTTTGAATAAAATATTGTTGAAATTTTTATCATAACATTTTAGCAAAAAAATATTTATGAGATTATTATCTTATTATAATTTGGAAACAATATTTTTGAAATATTGGGCATATAATTTAGTGGCTATAATTCTGGGATATTCCTAAATTAGTATATTGTTCTTTATCAAATCCTGCCATGTTCTTAAGTAGAGTTTTACTTATTTTTCTTTTTTCACGTTCAATTGTGGAATCATAAGTCCTTCGATCGAAGTCGGTACTGCTGAACTCCAATCATGGTCAAGAACACATATGTAAGTGTGCTCACCTAACTGACTTTTTATCTTATTAAAAAAAAATTACATAATCATACTTGCAATTTCATCTATA